CACAAGGAATATAGATATATATATATATCTTTTCAAATTCTACTAGTTATATATATTCTATATATATATATATATATATATATATATATATATATTATAGAATGATGTATGTATATATATGTATCCGTTTTATGTAGAAAATGTATATACAATGGATATATACGATGACAATATTGAAAATTGATAATTTTCATTCTGATTTTTGCTCTATATCTTTCATCAGATTGTTTCAACACCTCTGCCTAGATCAGACCATCTATCTGGTACTGGTAGAAAATAACGATGCATCGCTGCTATAAATCTAGCTCGGTATTCCTCCGGCGAGATTATGGTTGGTAATTTTCCTTGCCCACCTAATATGCCGGATTTCTTCACCATTGTTTCTAATTTTTTATCCCATGTGAACGTCCTTATATAATCTGATGCAGAATAGCAATAATTAGAAACATTTTTAATAAAATATGTCAAACTTGTATGTGTATGTATGTATGTACGTATGTATATATTATGCTTATGCGCAATAAGAAAAATAATACACATACCTATTATACCTAAAACAAGTTCACCTGAACTCGGTTCCAATCCTACTAATAACGAATAATCCATAACAGAATTGTCTGCTAAAAATTTGGTGTCGCTTTCAATCGCTTTATTTAACACAGCCTTGGAATGAGATCTGATATATAAAGGTGAGTCGCAGCTCACTGAAATGTGTAAGATTATAGTATTGAGATATAGAGGTATTATAGCCAGCTTTTACATGACACAAGTGATACCTACTATTCAATAAATTTTCATCTAACAAAACTAATTCCCCTTCGTGGTCTGTATCATCTGGATTTGCCAGTCGATTCCTTATAGATCCCTTCAAATCAAACTTGTCTGTGATTTCTCGATTATAAAATAAATTCTCCATTACCAAAACACTCGTTCTTATTCCATTGTTAGTCGTATCATTTTTGAAGGATACTCTATAAACACCGACTATCTTTCCTAATAACGTCGGTTGTTTCATTTGCTGACACTTCTCCATATAAGCAAAATAATTCGGTGCAAATCTTCGAAATATTTGCATCTCTAGTTTGGACATTTCCTTTATGATAAATCGATCGTCTAAAAATAATTAATTGTTGAAACAAAATATATATATATATATATAATATATTTGATGGACTTGTGCTCAATATTATGTGTATTGTGAATACCTCTACTTTTACAAAAAGCACTCCCACTTTTTCCACCCCTAGCTGCCCATTGAACAGTCCTACTCAAACTTCTAGTATATCCATCTTCTCCACAAGGTAAAACGTTCTTTCTTAAAGCAGAAAATTGAGCCGGAAAGTATATCCTACAATAAAAATTAGTCGTTGTATCATTGAACTGAACTTCGATGAAATTTTGCTGTTTCACTTGTTTCTTGTCCTCGTCTGTTTCCGTCGAAACATTACAATTTTGTACTATTGATTCCACGCTTGAAACATTTTTATCGGATTCTATTGGACTAGTAGGATTTGGACTGTTTCCTCTTAAGAAAGATAATACCGATGGTCTCTTGAAATCTCCTGATTGTGTTAATTCTAATGTATTTTCCTTGTTCTCAGAAAATTTACGTTTGTTTAATGGACTGGAATTTAATTCTGGACCTTTTGTTGTACGAAGTAATTCTTGCAGAGAATGTTTGTAATCATGAGAATCCAATGCATAGGCTATTATAGAAGATAACTCTGATTCGTAGACAACTACTGGTACAACAGATCTGAAGCAAAAACAAATAAACGCGTTAGATGTTTTATTTTTATATTTATATATTTGTTTTAGAATTTATATAAGAAGAAAATCAATCATAGTTGCGTATTAGATCTTTGATTAATTGAATCGTGAACTGTAAAGTGTTAAGAAATATTTACCCAAGTGGAAGTAAAGTATGTTCCAGTGGTCCTAATGGATTAGCTATTGGTTGAGTTACGGAAACAGAAGGTAATAATTGAGACAAGATCGTCTTCTTCTTTTTCTTTTTATCAGGCATGTCTTCCGATGTCAAAGGTAAGACATCCGAATAAGATCTCTGATGCATTTTGGGTGATCCCTGCACAGTAATGATATCTTCAGGATTATTAATCTCTGGAATTTCGTTATCCGAATTTTCCATGATGTCTATACTCTGCAAATCATTTTGTGCGATTGCAATTGCATCTACTGCATTATAATCAGCCGACATAGGACTCATATCCTCCAATTGTGATTCTGATGCAGTGTCCTCTGTTATATATCCATCAGTATCTATCATACCACTGCTACCAGTTGTCATAGATCGTTCGATGAACTTTTTTGTTCGTTCATCTTTCTTTTTAGTTGAGATCTCTAAAATTCTTGCGTTCCAGGTAGACACAGCTTCGGAAATCAATCTTTTTAATATGACGATACCATCTTCGATTCTATACATAAGAATTTGTACCTGTTTTTCCGAAATCTTCCCTTCAAGTTTTTTATTTTCTAAAGTCGGAGAAGTTAATTTCAATTGTATTTCCTCTATTTTATTTTTGAAATATTGTTGATCTTTCATCATCTGTTGTTTAGCAGCATTTATATTTTCAGCGTCTATTTGCAACGAATTTAATTTTTCTCTTATACACGAAAAAACGTCATCCCCTTTTAAAGCCATACTTTTCATCTCTTCGATAACATTAGCATGCTGCTTTGGATCATAAATAATGTTTATAACTGGTGGTGGTAAAGATATCTCCCATTGAGAAATCTTAGTGTACTTGAATACGGCCAACATATTTTTCCTCGTGAAATATTGATAATGATCATGATGAAGAGAATGTTGACAATTGTCAGCACCCCTTCTCATGTACGAACTACCATGAAATTTTAATTCGAGGTATTTAGCAAAAGATAGAGACCAAGTATCATCTGACATTGGTACGACCGGTGAAACACTTTTACATTTTATACATTTGCTCCACATAAGAATTTGATTACTATTTTCTTGACCGAAAGGTTCAGAATTTATTTCCCTTAAGCTAATTCTTACACAGCCACCATCGTGAACAAATCGTCTGACATGTTGTGCAATTTGTGCACGACAAGTTTTTGCACGACATTTGTATTCTGATGTTAAACAATAACGTTCTAGAAAACATCCCAATGCTATATCATTCCGTCCATATAGATCCATGTTAACAGTCCAAGGATATACACAAAAAGATGGAGTATCATTACCGATATGTGACAAGCTACAGAATAATACAGACAAACGTTGATGATTAACAGGATCCAAACAGTCTGGCCAGATAGATTTTGGTTCAGTAGTCTCTACTTGTACGTTTTGTTGTTGCTTTTCTACCAGAACATTATTCGTTGGATTCAATCGATTTCCGCAAGCTCTGAAATGGGCTAAAAGTGCCTGTACTTCTTTGCTTTCAACATCTGTTGTTAATTTTGCTTCTATGAATGGATGTCTAGGTTTAAGTTTTAAATTCAACAGAGGTTTATCAGATAAATTTTGTTCCACAGAAACGTTACTAATTCTTGCTTCCTTCGTTTTATCTAAGAATTGTTCGGAATAAAAAATTTCTCTTGGAAAGAAACTTCTTAAAACACAATTCCGTCCAGGTTCGGTCTCTAAATAAGGTACTGAAAATTTTAAATAAGGCGAAACACTGAGAACTGTACCTTCTAAAGCTTTTTTAAACTTATTTAATAATGGTAAGTCAGCAACACTCAGGTATTGTCCATTTGGACTAATTTGATGAAAGACATCTTCTTCGTCTTCGTTTAAATATTGATGCAGCGGGTCACTATGATCACTGATAGATTCACCATAAATACGTTTTTCTTCAACACATCTTGATACGTTACTTTGTTCTCCTGATTTTATTTCTAGATTATTTCCAGAATTAAATGAAATATTTTGTATATCTGTATTACCTTTAAGAGTACTCAAAGGAACATTCGAGTTGCTATAACATTGAGTTATGTCTTTAGAAGATTGTTCGAAATCTTTTGAATCATTGGTATTGGATCTGGTTTTTGTTTTAAATAATTTCAAAGTGTCATAAGGATCACAGTCTTCGTTCAACATAGAAGATATCTGTTTAAGGGCAGCAGAGTTTAATAAATGATCATTTCCACTGGGGTTTTCCATATCTTCATCTTTCATAAACGTGTTACGATTAATTGGATATGTTTTATCTATACCCCGCTCATTGCTAGAAATATTTCCGGTATCATAAATTTGTAATAACTTTATATTCTCTTTGGTATCCATGCCTTCGTTATTTTCAATATTTGGCAAAGTTTCAACGTCATCTTTTCCTTTGGTAATTAATAATTGTTCATTATTTTTGCTATCTGAATTATTTTTCTTGGTTGTTTCATCTAAGAAAGAATTGTCTTTTGGAGAAAGTGGTCTTGCAAATTCATCCATGAGAAAAGATTTTTCTAGACGCCAGGAATATGCAGCGAATATCATCGTAGATGTAACATTTTTGACCTTCTTTAATTCTGGTAAAGATCCACCTCGTAGTAAGATAGTAGTTCCCAAATGTGCATTTGCACAACCCTCAAAATACATCAATGTTTTTATCCCATCTATTTAATCCAAAAAAAAATAAACATTTTAATCGAGTATTTTAACACTTATGATATATATCAAATTATATATAATATACTAACTTTTATCGTTAGGAAAATTACGTAAATAAAACTTTTTACATGTACCAAGCATGTAACGAGCACTAATATGAGCATCAACAGTATTTACAATATTTGCACCTGTGCATCTGGCTATCCGTTCCAGTACGCTTAATTTAACATTTAAAATAAGAGTAACGCCACATTCTCTGAATCTATCTTGCGCTAGTCTAGAAACAGATCGATGAACAAGAACTATATCAGGTCCAAGAGCTGTGATTCTAGCTACAGTATGACCCAAATATTCGTTCTCCTGTAATTACTTTAGTTATTTTTATATAAATAAATTTTGTCAAAGAGATAATTGTGCGTTTACCTGCATCATCACAGGTTCCAAACTTAATAATTTGCCTTCTACACGTTGGTACATTAGTCCACATTGTAATAATAAAATTTTCGGATGAGCAATCATTGCGTTCATTCCACGATGAGCTACATTTTTGGTACAAACTACTCCTGATACTATTTCACATTCATCCTTATTACCTCCGGTACACTTTTTTATTTGTACATAATGTCGAATGTCTAAATCATCAGCATTGTGATTTAGATCAGGCCTAACGTGATCCACTATTTGATGTGCAATATTTAATATAACTTCAGACCAAATTTGAGATAAACCTTCTTTATTAAGAAGTTGTTTAATCAATGAATCTTCATGTTGCTTGTACGCAGATCTATAATAAATAAAAATGAAGATTTTTTTAGATGATTCTTATCTTACAATCTTATCTTACAATTCTTTTGTGTTTTATACTTTACTTACGTTAAACAGTTATAGGCACTCATCTCTCCAAACGTAGATCGAAGATTAGATACTTTATGCCAACCACTTTTTTCTTTAATTTCTTGTACTTGAAACGTGTCACTTAAAAGATCATCGGATACTTTAAAATTACATTCATGAGATTTTAGGTTTACTTCTTTCTGTTCTATAACTCCATCGTTACTGTCTATAGAAATTGTTGTTAAATCCTCAGACGTTGGTCTTTTCAATGTGACAGTGGATGCTTCTACATTTAAATCTAAATAAAAACTCGAACTTGAGGATGGCAAGCGACCACTAGGTTGTTGAACTAAATTTGATGGTTTCGACTCGCTTTCAGAATCTAATATACATATATATAAATATATATATATATATAGATAAGTTTATATAATATAATATAAAATTATTAACACTAAATGTACCGAATTTTATATATACCTATATCTACCACAGTAGATTGAATGACCCATCTTCAAAAAGCCATATATTTCACAATGTATGTATAGCAAAAAATATATATACCATAAATGCAATAATAATTCTTGACCCACCAGATAGCACTTTAACTTGTAAAAAATTTTGCCAAAAAATTAATCATTTGACTGGTTATAGTACGTTTAGTGTTAATATAGAAATATTAAATAATTACCTGTAGTTGAATCATGTTGAGAAATAGTTTTTACCCATGCAGGTTCCTGTGCATCACAAGTGGTTTGATGTTCTGTTAATAAATCTGTACTTTGCATTTGAGATAATTGGACTGGTTTAAATATAGCTGCTGTATCACTGAAAACATTCTCAGAAGTAATAGGTTCTATAAAACCTGCTTCAAGTAATGCTTGACCTATAGCAGTAGCTTGCACCCTATGGAATATGTTTTATTAGATATTTTAAAAATATATTATAATTTATTACTATCATACCTATTTGCTGCTTTATTCTGTGCTATCATCCAATTTACTAATTCACTTGCTATGAAGCAATTATGATAACTTTTCAAACGAATTCTGTGCGTTTGTAATAAAATTGCTTGACATGATCTGAATAATTCTTCATAAATTACTCTTAGCGATGCTGAATTTTGTAAAGCAAGTGAACATTCTTGTGGTGTTAAATAACTATTCGCCGATCTAAAAACCATGTTTTTAATAAGTAAGTCAAATAAGTAATCGAGTAGAAGAAAGTATAATCGCACTACATGATATTACACAGTTAAAGAGAAAATAATGAAATATACCGTCCAACAGCATATTTTTCTTCCATGTAACCAACGCTTGGTTTTCTACAAATGGAAGTTTCACCTTCTGTACATTCAGATAAGTTTTTCTGTGTTAAAGGTGGAGAATCGTTACCATATTTTACTTGAAGATCTTCCTGCAATGCTTTGAGATCTGCTGATAAATCGCTTCTCATGTCGGATGATTGCAAGTACGACAAAACCACTTTGCAACAATATGTACATACTCTAAGATCACCTATGAAAACAAGATTATTATAATATAACATTTAATTAAAGAACAATATATATGAAAGTATATTTTCGTACCAGTACATCCCATTATTTTTCCTGGAATTTGATCGGAGCAACATTTTGAACAAAATATTTGACCACAAACACGACAGTGATGTCTTCTACGAAAAGTAGTGAATCTTTCACCGCATTCATAACATTGTTTGCTTACGCTATCTGGCATCCAGTAACTCCTAAGTTCAGAATCTTTATATGATCTCAGATTCTATAATTAATATATATATATATATATATCAATACGCTTAATTAAAATTATTTAATAGTAGGAAAGAAAAAATACATACGCTGCTCTTGGAAGCTACAATATTTCTTATACGTTTCAAAACGCTTGGTAAGCTACGACCTTCATGTGTGTCTAATGGGAAATTAATTATACTAGAAGTATCTTCTTCCGGTGTCTTTTCTGCACTCTCCGATTGTTTCCAGGAATCAGAATCAGAAGAACTTTGTTCATCATTATTAGGAAAGATGATGGAGCCATCAACATTTTGAGGACCTTCAAAATATAAATTGTATTGAATTAAAGTATAATATATTCATCGCATTCATATTAGAAAATTAAATAATTTTAAAACAAACCATAGTACAAACGACAAAATAATAATGAACAATTATAATAGTTACTTACTTTTGTTAAAATTGAAGAATTTAGAAAAAAGTGAAGCAACAACAGGTTGACTTTCTTCTGGACTCAACGGTGCAAATTCCGTCAACTTTGACGGTGAGTTCATATTCTTGTTCATTGTCTTTTTAGTTTTTTTTTTTCTTTTAATTTATGTTATCTATCTATATACATTTTTAAAGAAAATCTTACATAAGACACTATTTCCTAAAATTTACAGTACTATTGACATTTGTACTGACGTTAGAGTATTAAATAATCTCAGTAAAAGCGTCCTCTGTTTATGGTTTCTTAAATGAAATATCTGCGACGTTTATAATCTCAAAATTATTTATAAAATTCGTGTTAAATTTACGATCATGGGTTACTGTTCCTAATCTAATTATATTATAAGATAATTTAATAGTCACTTTATTATTACACATTTAAATATTTTTGTTGTTGGAAATTATTAAATAAATAAGATTCGTATAAATATTGCAACTTTATTTGTATGATGCAAAAAATGAGTACATACCTTAATAAAAACGTCTACACTCATTGGTTACAATTTTTACCCTACACGAAGATTTGAGAACGTTGATTGGTCAGTTTTTGTCACGAAACATTTAAATACCAGAAATGACGTCTTCGAAATTATCCAATAGGAAATAAGAATAAAGTGCATACTGTAGTTTTACTTGCATGATGTATAAGAACAGATGACACACCTTCCCTCATCGTGATTTCGAAAATATTTGGAAACATTTTCCTCAACACATTGAATGACAAGTAACGCATATAAGTATTGTGATCGTCTGGTATTTAAGTGTATACTGAGAATCAATTTAATTCAATTATTTTAGTTGTTAAAAAACGTCTTTCACAGATTTGTGATTATCAAGGAATGTACAATGGTTGTCGAATAACCTCATAAAACATTGATCATTGTATCATAATATAACAAATAAGATAAATGTGTATTATATGATTTATATGTTATAAATATAGTACAAAAAAAAATGGAAAATTTACAGAAATTAGAAGAGGAGGCTAAAGCAAGGGCTACACAACATGTAACAAATATGTTGCAAAGACCTGGACAATTAGAAAAAATAGAAGTATATAAACGTAGGATAAGCAGAAAGAAAGCTTCTGTAGAGACTATGCTTAAAAGTGCAATGCAAAGTCAATTAGATGGTATTAGAGTTGGTTTTGAACAATTGCAAAGTTCTCTTGAAAGTATAACTACGATAAAGGAAGAATTGAAGGAGATTGAAAAATTGTTTAGTATCGTACCAGAACTGAGTAGTAAACTTCAACCGGTTCAAGATGAAAATATGCGTCATTCTCAATACGTGACTGCTAAGGAAAATTTAAAACATATATTTACAGTACCTGAAAGCGTAGAGAAAACTAAACAATGGATAAATGATGGTAAGCTTCTACATGCGCATCAAAGTTTAATGGATCTAGAAAATTCTAGAGATGATTTACTATACGAATTACATAAGCTTCCTAATCAATCAACAGCAGATACTATTATGCTGAAAGCTTACTTTGAAGACGTAGAAATGTTGTCACAATTAATGGAAAAACAAATTAGACTTGTTTTAAGTCGTACTTTAAATACGGTAAGAAAAGAACCAACAGTTATAGTAACTGCATTAAGGATTATAGAGAGGGAAGAAAAAGCAGATCAGTTTGCTATTCAAAGGGACAAACAAAGTGGTTTTATGCCACCAAGTAGACCTAAATGTTGGAAAAATATGGCAATGAAGATATTGGAGAAATCAGTGGCTAATAGAATTGAAGGTACTCATGTTGATGAAAGAGCTGATAATAAAATGTGGTTGGTAAGATATTTAGAACTCACTAGACTTTTGATTCTTGAAGATCTAAGAGTAATCAAAACTCTTTGTGGTCCATGTTTTCCACCGTGGTGGGACATTGTAAATACATTTGTAAAAATGTATCATACTAGTTTATCCCAACATTTGAAAGATATAATTGCTAATGGTTTAGAAGGAAACGAATATGTTTCCTTGTTGGCTTGGATTATGAATACGTATACAGGACCAGATTTAATGCAACATCCAGAATTAAATATAGATCTAAGGGATATCGGTCCTCTATTGAGTTCAGAAATAATAAATGATCTACAACAGAAATATTTGAAAAATATGTGTCAGAATTATGAGGATTGGATGAAAAAGACATTAGAAACTGAAAAAGTTGACTGGTGGAGCGGGGTAATACCAGAAAGTAGTACGGAAGAAGTTTATTATCATACCGCTGCACCTGTCATTATATATCAAATGATTGATCAAAATCTTCAAGTAACAAAAACGATTAGTTCTAATCTAACAGCTCAAGCATTCATCCTTTGTATAGAACAAGTTACTAAATATGGTTTTATGTATCGACAGGCAATATTAGAATTCAAAAGTAAACATTTTGAAGACAGAAGCCGGGTACCTTACTTCACGCATCATATGATTACTATTGTTAATAATTGTCTACAATTTACAGAATTGGCTCATCAAATAAAACAGATCTATTGGGTCCCTAATTCAAGCGGCGATGCCACTGTAAAATTTGAAAATCTTTTAGCTCATTATCAACAATTGAGAAATGAAGCAGCTGCCATATTATTGGAAGAATCGTTTCTCGATTTAGAATTTCATTTTCAAGATTTGATTACATCCAAGTGGTTACAATCTCCTATCCCAATTGCAACAATATGTGTTACTTTAGAAGATTATTTTCAAGATTACAATCATCTTAATCCAAAAAACTTTGAGTATGTAATAATGGAAGCGCAAAATCTTATAGCAAAGCGTTACATATCTGCTATGTTACAACGTAAAATATCATTTAAAACCTACGAGGAGTGTTTAACTTGTACTTCAAAGATAATATCGGAAGCTGATAAATTAAAAAATTTCTTTGTTAAAATAGCACCTAAAGTAGGCAGTTACAATTCTCCTTTCGAGATAATTAAACGTCTTGCCGAAGTATTGCGTTGCGAAGATTCGGAAATTCTTTCTCTTGATTTACATTCACTAGTTGAAAAATATCCTGATATGACGGAAGATCATTTAGTCAGATTACTTAGCTTAAGAGGAGATATTTCAAGAGGTGAATCTAGAGAAAAGGTGGCTTATATCTTAGAGGCTCAACGCAATCGAAATACACCACAAACTACAACCAACAGTATATTTAAACAAATAGTGCTACAGGATAGCTTCCTCAGTTGGAAACCTTGAAACTGCAAAAATATGTTTAAACCAAATGCAGTTTAAATTTCTATAAACATAAAGCATAGTAAATTCAGCATAAAAATTTAGATTAATATTTAATTAATAAACCCATTTTGCGGTAATGCATAATGGGGGAAGAACGAAAACAAACAAATTTGCCATTTTGTTGTCCATATTCTAATCGCTTGTATATGATTTGCTTTTGTATGAGTGGAAAAAATAATTGAAATTTGAAAGTTCTATTTAAAAAGATGGTATAATTAATAAACGTAAAGTTAGATTATATATTTCTTGTATAATATTATTATTATTATTAACAATAATAATTAGCTACGCGTCACTTAGTGCAATCTCGCAAAATTTTATTGACTTGCCATCTACCTCACAATGACTGATGTAGCTTCAATAATAATAATAATAATAATAATAAAAATAATAATAATAATAATAATAATAATATTAATAATAATAATAATAATGATAATGATAATATATAATGAATAATAAAAAAATAAATTCAACTGCCTTGGTACAAGATTTGTAATATATATATTATATATTGGTAGATAAATGTAATTAAACAAGTGAAATCGATGCGATAAAGATGTTAAACAATAATATAGTAAATTTTTAGTTAATTAAGAAGCCATTGTACTTTAATCCCTAATAGAAAAAAACATTGATATTACTCAAAATAATTGTATATGTGCGATGTTGTTTAGTTTGTAAATGTATACCTATTTATTGCAGCATGTATGAAACAAATAATTATAATTCAAGAAATAATATATATTTTTATTTATACTGTATTTTTATTACATATATTTAATGATTTATTTTCTTTTTATTTTCTTTCTTTTTTTTCAAGAATTTTAACTATTTTTACAGAATGAAATAAAAAAAAACAATGAATAAATTTCTAAACTCTTCCCAGAAAATATCTAACCATTCAGAAAGAAAAAAAATACTAAAACGCTAATCGATATATTATAATAATATTATTTTTCAAAATATATCATTTGTGCGTGTAATCATTCGCTGATAATGAATAATTTACCTACCGAGATCAAAGTTCCAAATTTGCATTAGTTTGTTGCGAGTCTAATCGATCGAATTTTTACAATATTTAATTTAATATAATTACAATTTATACAATAAATAATTAAACAATTACTATCGTGACTTACGCGAATAAAAAAAAATGGAATAATAATTATTAGAAACAATGAATTAATTATTAATATTTGATTTATAAAATTATTTTATATTTTAATGACAAGATTAATCCTGTATAGAAGCATTACAATATTCGTCAATAAAAATTAATCTAACATTCTAACTATCATAATCGTTCTCGTAGAATAAAGGGAAAGTATCATTCTGTGGAATCGTTCATTTGTTTTAAAGTATATCAATGTGTCCAGTGTGAAAGCCACACTTGGTAATAGAAAACCTATGTAATTCGCACAGATACCAATATACAGATACATAGAGTCATACACCACCAACAAACATAATTTGACCAATGAAAATTTAGCATTACAGTCCCAGGAAAAAAATCCGTTATGTTCACTCTCCTTTTAACCCAAGTATCTAACCAATAGGAATAGAAATGTAAAATAGACCGACAACGTAAGGACCAATGACAAAGGTCATCGACAAATGAAGGTATCCGATTGGCGAAAAGACTTACGGTTTGTGATGGGCGTCACGGGTGGGCGTGATTGAGATTAAAATGGCCGCGCCTACTAGTTTTCGTTCAATCGGGTTAGAGTCGACCAATGACACGATGGTAACGCTCGTCTGACAACGTGGCCTTGGTTGACGCCCCTGCATTTCTCTTGGCTAACTAACAGCGTTTCCCCGCATTCGAGAGTCGGCGCGTCGATGTCAGCCACTCGGCCAGCAAGTCCCGGCCACCCTTCTCCTTCTGCAATCGCTATTTCATTCCCCACCCACCTGAACTTCATCCTCTCACAGTTTTCCCCCGTTTTAGGTAGGGCAACGTAGCAGCATCAGCATCAGCAGCAGCAGCAGTGGCAGCAGCCAAAAGAAGAGTCGTTGGAATCGCGTGACATATCCTATCCCCGACGCCACTTCTCAACACGACCGTTGCTTTACTCTCTTCGTGTATGTAATAGCAACACAGACGTGTATATATATATATATACGTATATACACACATGCGCACGCTTCACATATATACTTTTATACACACACGTACTACCATCCACGAACGACCTGTGATTCCATACAGAGAGACGATCATGGATATTGGAAGAGATGGTTACTTTGCCAGCCAGCCAGCCAGTCGTGCAAACCTCTCTTCCCCTCTCCCGTTAGAATTTTTTTGCTTTTTCTCTTTCTCTTTTCTTCTTTTTTCATAGGATAATGCGCGTACTCTCGCACACATACAAAATACACGTACACGTACACGACTATACGCAAGAGAGAGACTTACCCGGGCACGAACGGCCCTTCTTCCTGGAGGGAGGACGTTCAAACGAGAGGGAGATAGACTATTGATACGTGTGTGCGTGTATGTGTGTGTGCTTTGTGTGAGTGAGTGGGTGAGTGAGTGAGTGTACAAGAGAGAGAGNGAGAGAGAGAGAGAGAGAGAGAGAGAGAGAGAGAGAGAGAGAGAGAGAGAGAGAGAAGGTACGGTGAATCTCGAAGCCAGGCCGTCACGGAGAACGCTTTGGGACTTCGCGCGACTCCCTTGGCGCGGTGTCGTCGGTACGGCAACCAGTTCGGTTGTTCCCCGTCTGAGGATGTTCGACTTTTGACTTGAGCCACGGAGAATGGGCACAGGTCAGTCCGACATCATCCTTTTTTTTTAACTTCTCATCATATCACATTTATACACAATGTCTCATTATAATTACGAATAATCTTACTTTTTTGACATTTTTTTATTAATCGTATAGAAACAACGTTGTGCAAAAAGAAAAAGAAAAAACAATTAAGGGGAAGAATTTTGATTGTACGTAGTAATAACAACAGTGGTGCGGATTTCGCGCCGATTTTTTGCGACCGCCATAGCTATCGAATCGAATTGTGACGTCATCCACTTTACTCTACGTACACATTATAAGAGAGCGGGAAATTCAAATCGATTTTGTGATTTTGATTAGTTTTGTTTTTTTTTTGTTTTTCCTTTTTTTCTCTTTCTCTCTCTCTCTCTCTCTCTCTCTCTCTCTCTTGTTTTGTTTAGTTTTCATTTATTCCTTTCTGGATCATCGCGAGGACTAAGAAGTTTAGTTGTTGTGTGATTATATTTGGTGGATCTTTAATCGGGGACAGCCTTTATGGAAATTAATGACAACTTTAAGTGTACGTGTGTGTGTGTGCGTGTATGTGTGTTTACATCTCATTTCTTTTTATTTTTTTTTGTTCTTTTTTCAATTATCAGGTGCGATAATATATGGTGTGATTACGTGTCGAAAATTCTTGTTGACGGATAAAAAAAGAAAAAAAGAAGGAAATCGAAGAAAATTAAACGTAATTTCGAGTTCTCCATTAATTGTTAAACGATACAACAAAATAATTGTTGGATGAATCGAAGAAAAATTGTTGATGAACGAAAAGATATTTGATGGAATTTTCTTGGTACAATATTTTAATATATTTTAATATAATTTCTAGAATATATATATATATATGTAAATTTATTTTGAAAACAATTTAGTTAAACACAATAATAGAAGAGTAAGAGGAGAAATATAGGAGGTATAGATCGAAAGCAACGAAGGAAACGTAATCCATTGGGGTTGCCTTAGCAAGGCTGATCGTGTTAAGTTGGTAGGTAAAGAGAAAGAGAAAGAGAGAGAGAGAAAGAGAGAGAGAGAGAGAGAGAGAGAGAGAGAGAGAGAGAGAGAGAGAGAGGGCGTGAGACAAAGGTGGTTAATTCCCCAGGCCAGGGACTGGAAGCTTTGGTTGGCTTAGCTATGGCCGTGTTTTTCTTGCCGCGGATCATTAGGACGATTAGGGTTCCCGCGAAAAGGGGGAGAACAGATTAGCCAGCGAGCGAGTGAGCTCGAAGGAGAAGTCTTTCTTAAACGGATCTTATGTCAGCCCTTTTATACATCGGCAATACCTTCCTTTTTTCATCTCATTCAATCTTTTCTAAGAGATATTTTAAAAGAACTTTTCAATATAAGACCCGTGAAAAAAAAATCCTTTTCTCGATCGATAAAACATTTCGTTTCGTTTCGTTTCTTTTCTTTTTTTAATCTCATCTATATTTCAACATTAATTAATGCAAATATATGATTGTTTATCGATACGTTTTATTTTTTGTTACTTTGCAATGAAACTTTTTTCATTTTGATAATATTTTTGAATAAAAGGTTGGTGTTGTGTTGTGATACTATGTAAATGATATAATTTGTTTTCGATTTTCGTTAATAATCAGGATTATGATAATAATATAATGCATCTTCATTATTGTCTTAGTTTTTTTGGATTTTGTTTCTTTTAGGAGACCGGTTACTTGACATTCTGTGTGGCGTATGCGGTGACCGTAGTTCCGGAAAACACTACGGCATCTACAGTTGCGACGGTATTGTATTTTTCCCTATATTCGTATCGTCATTATTATTATTATTATTATTATTAGGCTGAATCAAAAGTTCGTTTCGTTTATCGTGTTGATATTTTCATTGGAGACTGCAACATCGTAATGGGATTATTTTTGTAAAATTTATAATTTGCAAAATATTATATTAAAAAGAAAGCAAAAGGAAAAACAAAAAAAAATGCACGAACTTTTGTCTCACCCTAATACACTTTTAATTTCAAGTATTATAGTACACGATATTAAATGTTTTCTCGATTGTCTAGTTAAAAAATACTTCAATACAAACGTTGATTATTCTTCATTCCTCTTTTTCTTTTTCTTTTAAACTTTTAAACGTTTTTTGTTCAATGAATTTTTTGTTTTTTTTTTTTTTGATTAACAGGTTGTTCTGGATTTTTCAAGAGAAGCATTCACAATCATCGAGAGTATACCTGCAAGGCACAAGGAGCATTAAAAGGGCGCTGCCCGATCGACAAGACTCATAGAAATCAATGTCGGGCTTGTAGGCTAGCTAAGTGTTTTAAGGTCAAGATGAATAAAGAAGGTGAGTAACACAGATTTTATTAAATAAAATTATTATTATTATAAGAAAGGGGGGTGGGGGAAAACAAAAAGTATTCTATTAGAAATCAATCGTTCTAAACTGATCAATCCGATTAAATTAGGTTAACCAAAGCTTCCTAAGTAAACGTTCGTTTTAGGTTGACCAACTTGTTGTTGACCGTGATCAAACGAAGTACTATACCATTAGGTGTTTCCCCAATGAAACCTAACGAAATCTTTAGAAAACGAATCCAATTCGTTTCGATGTGATACACCATCATTTTGAGTATGGTCTCTATTAGAGTTCAGATGATAAGTGATCTGTTAGTTATAT